CCTTTGCAAATAATCCATTCATTAAATGTTTTCATCATCTCTTTTTGATATGCCAATATGTACTGATTTCTTTTTGCTCAAAACATATTTTACTGGGCATTATGACAGCTCATTATCTTGCTGTCATCCAACCTTTCTGTCCACTCCTCTGTCTCCTTGGCAGATTTCTCCTATTTCACCGAATCATACATTTTGGAATTCCTTTAAGTCTGTAGCTCTTTTTTCTTCCTACTGTATTCCCTTCTAAAGAACCTTCTTCAATATCCACATTTTCTAACTACCTGTAGGCCAATGACTCACAAACTTATTGTTCCAGCCACACCTGTCCTTTAGATCCAGACACATAATTCAACTTCCTTTTTTCTACAGTTTCATTCATTTAATCAGTGAATATTTTTCCAGAGTCTATTGTGTTCCAGGCCCTGTTTTAGAGTTTTAAAATACTTAAAATGCCCTCAAACTCCACTTGCCCCAATGGAATCTATGATTTATCACTCCCTTCCCCAACCCTCTTCCTCTTCCATTGTTTCCTACTGCAGTGAGTGATACCAACATCACCCATCCAACCCCACAATTAGGAACCTAGGGGATGTTTTTAATGGCTTCCCTTTTCTCATTCTCCATAGCAGACTCATCGAGTGCTATCAAATTATCTCCTAAATATTGATTGACTCTAACCAATTTTCTTTATCTCTACTACCACACTACCATAGCCCAAGGTGTCAATGGTTTTTTGTTTTGTTTTGTTATGTTTTGTTTTGTTTTTAACCAGTACAGCATTAACTGCAGTAGTCTCGTTGTTCCCTACTCCAATAAATAGAGAACTTTTTGAGGCACAGATCTGTCCATGCTATATTTAGCCTTAGCTTAAGATCTCCCAATACCTTCTGCTTTCTCTTATACAAAGCTACTGGAGGCCTGCCTCCTGCCCACCTCTCCAACCTCTTCTCAGACCACACTCTCTTCAGCTCCCTGTTCTCTAGCCCTTCTTGTCTTCCTGGAATTGACATGTTTCTCCCTGTCACAGAATCTTGACCCTTATTATTCCCTTTGTTTTTTAACACTCTTCCTACATGCCTTACTTCACTCAATAGCAAACTCTTATCTTTTAGCCCTCAGCTAAAACGTTGCGTCCTCAAAGATGCCTTTCCTGGTGCAATAGCTCTGTTATTGATTGTGAAATAATAAATATATTTTGGTTTCTACCCCCCTTGTTTCTGACATAGAGCTCCTAAAACTCTTGTAGATGAGAGTGCTTTAGGAGGGTCTTTTTTTCCTAATATTTGGTCTTTGACCCCTAGTTCCTGACAAAGAGCCCCAAAAAGTTTGTAATTTCCTGAGTGATAGGAGTGTCTGACACAGAGCTCCTAAATCCCTTGGAATTTCCTGGGTGATAGGAGTGTTTTGTTGTTGTTGTTGTTCAGTGAGGCAACTATTGGTAGGCTCCTAGATGGATGTAGAAAGTCCAAGCCATGATTGTAAGCTTGGAGTTTTCAGTCCCATCTCCATTCTTTGACAGAGGGGAAAGGATCTGGAAACAGGGTTAATAACTGAGTATGCCTATATGATGAAGCTGCCATAAAAATCCCCAAAGTATGAGGTTTGGAGAGCTTCCACGTTGGTGAACAAAAACACATCCACGACCAGGAGGGTGGTGCACCCCATCTCCACGGGGAAGGAGATCCTGTGCGCAGGACTCTTCTGACCCTTGTCCTCTGTATGCTTTCATCTGGCCGTTCATCTGCATCCTTTGTAGTATCTTTATATCAGCCAGTATACCTAAGTGTTTTCCTGAGTTCTGTGAGCCATTCTAGCAAAAGATTGAACCTGAGGAGGGGGTTGTGGGAATCCTGAATTTATAGCCAGTTGGTCAGAGTACAAGTCACAACCTGACACTTGTGACTAGCATCTGAAGTGGGGGGAAGCCACGTGGGATTGAACGCCTCACCTGTGAGGGCTGTGTAAAGTGGTGGACTCCTAATCTGTGAATTCTGTGCTAAGTCTGCACTAGTGTCAGCATTGAATTGAATTGTAGGACACCTGTTTGATGTCAGAGAACTGGTTGGTATGGAAAAAATTCCACATGTCTGGTTTCAGAAGTGAAGTATTGAGAGTGGTGTATGAGAGGAAAAGCAGTTGACTTCTTCCCGTATTCATCGACTTGGAAAGTACTAGACACCACTTCTTTATAGCATTTATCATGGATGTAATTCTACATTAATTTGCATGCTGTTTTGAATAATAGACTGTAACTGTACTTGAGAGACCTTAAGTGTTATGTTCAACATCATATTCATGAGTGCCTGGCACATAGTAGGTGCTCAATAAATATCTGTGGAATGAAAGGGTGAAGGAAGAGTTTTACTGAGATTGAGGCTTGTTATAGTAAGAATAAGATCTAGGCTTACATCAGTGTCATTTCCTCCTTAATTCAGTTTCTCAAAAGTTTTGGAGGAAGTCAGGTAGTTGAACAAACGTTGGTGCCATGAGACAATAGCTTGGCCTGTGAACTGTTCTGAGAGATGTTCATATCCCTTAGCCAGTCCCCAAAACCTCAAAAGAAAAATACTTTGTCAATTTGTCAATTTGATCCCTGAAGGATAGACTATGTTGATAACAAAGGCATATTATTTAATGATTTAATTACCTTCCTTAATTTTGTTAGAACAATAAAACCTGGTTTTATCACCAAAATTTAAATTAAAACTCTATTAGAGCAAAATTTGAAGAAATGGAAATGTTGAGTTATGAACAGGTGGTTTTCTTACTAATCCTTGACTACTTAGTATCAATCACAATTTTTCCTAATTTATTTCTCTTTAAGAGGTGGACAGGACTTTTCAGGTTAATTCCTTAAGTGCTTTAACTTCATTTAGGGCTTGACCACTGATACACTGACAGTGATAGAACTCCGGCCAACTCTGCATCGGAAACCTTAGAGGGCAACTCCTGATCATCTCTCGCTTCTAATTTGACTTCCTTCTAACTTAATCAGAAGAGATGAAAGTCTTTCTCCTAGAATTCCCATTAGTGATAGCTAGTATTTATTGAGCACTCACTATGTGCCAAGTACTGTCCTGGTCCTTTACACAGATTTTTATTCTTTACTTATTTCCATAAATTTTTCTTTCCAGATATAGAAATGAAGGCTCAGGACCTTATAGCTATAACTGGCCCCCTAACTTTATAACTAGCACTTAATGGGGTGAAAAGTCAGTTTCAGAATCCTTGCTCTGGGGCTTTTTGTCTTAATCATTAATGTCGACTTCCTGCATCCTTTTTGATAGAATCTGAAAATAAATTTCTTTCAGTGTATTTGTATGCTTGCTATCACAAAATCCTGTTTTTTTTTTTTTTTAAAATAGTTGGAAGGATGAAGTTTTCCATATTTCCATCTCTATTCTTTTACTGGTAAGAGTTTTGAGGCATTCTTGAGGCTTGCAAAAATGGCTTGATAAAATCCAGTCAATTAAGGGATGAATACAAATAAAGAGCTAAAAATAGAGAAGTCATGATAAACAAATTGGTGTTGGGAATTGAATCCATTAAATATAAACTAAGACTCAACAACCGTGGGAACTATGGCTATGCATCTTGACCAATAAAAACAAGTAAGAATAGATTTAAAAGATGAAGGAGATGACAGGAGGAAAGAAAAGAAGGTGAATTTCCTTAGTTCTTGGATGAATGAATCAATCAATGCTGCCTCAAATTTAAGCATCTGGTTTATTTAAAAAGGTAATGATCCCAGCCTCTAAGAGTGCTTCTTAAACTTTGTTATCAATGTTAATGCTATATTTAGGGAATCTCTAATAGTGAAAAAGCATTTATCTGAAGTTCGGGCATTTCTTCATTTCATTTTGTTTCTCTTTCTTCTTTAAATTCAATTAAATTTCAAGTAATATTTTTTCTTAACATTAGTATATAGCATTATTTTATTTTTATAAAATATTTCTCATGTTTATTCTTTCTCACTCTCAAATAAATGTCTGAAATGAAGTTTATCTATATTAACAATGATTATTTTGGGGTGGAGGAGTTTGGGAATATTTTCCTATATAACTGCAATTCCATTATCACAGCTAACAAAATTAGCAACAATACCTTAACATCATGTAATTCTCAGTCTATGTGAAAAACTCCAAACTGTCTTCCAAGTGGTTATTCAAACTAGAGTTCAATCAAGGACCACACATTGTATTTCATTCTTATGTCTATTAAGTCTCATTGTCTTGTCTGTTAAGTCTCATTGTCTTATTAATGTTAAACAACCTTCTTCCTTTTATTCCTCTTAACAATGATTGGTCAAAGACCAGGCCACTGGTCCTTTACAGCGTACCACTTTCTGGGCTTTTGGTCATTTGTGATATCGTTTCACTAGTTTCCCTAATCTTTGTATTTCTTGTAAGCTGAAAGTTAAAACTAAAGACTTGCTTAGTTTCGGCCTAAGTGGTTTTGGCAAGAGCATGTCATAGCTGATGTTGTACTTCATATTGCTTCATCATGGAAGGCACCTACTGTCTGGCTGTCCCACTGAATGCTGAGATAGAGCCTTGAGTTAAGGTGGTAACAGCCAGGTCCCTCCTTTATTAAGTCAGACTTTCTCCCCTGTGACTGGGAAATAATCTTGGGGGTGACGTTTTGGCACCAAATTATCCCATTATGGTTTTAACATGTGTTGATGAGATATGCCTGAATCATTTCTCTTATTAGGGGATACAAAATAGTGATTTTCAAAATTCTGTAAATCTATATATTATTAGCTGGGGCTTTACTGTAAAGAAGAGTGTTCTCTCATCATCTAGCACTAGTTGGAAAGGCAGGCTAATGCCTAATTCTTTCCCATTATTAAAGAATTTTAAATATTGTATAATATTTTAATGTTATAACTTAATATTATGATATTATTATAATAGCTTCCTTCACTGGTGATGAGTGATTTTTCTTTTGGCTTTCTCTCTTTTGATTATCATTATAGATTCATGGATTCTTATATATTCAATTTACATCTATCATTTATTTGATGCTTAAGTTATCCCAACTTTGACCAGTAGAAAACTCTTCAAGATGGTGCCTACATCCTTTTAATATAACTCCATTTTTCTTTGGAAGCTTCCTTGCTTTCTGGGTGTCTTGAGTTGGTTTTTAGAAGAGCAAATCCTAGTCATTCTTCCAGGTATTGAGAAGAGACATTTACTCAAGCAGGTGTATCTGATACACACATTTACATACTTAGCCCAAAGCTGGGTGCTGTGAAAGAACCAAAGATATGTTTCATTATTAGCTTGTGACAGAGATTCTTGCCACAGAGATGACCAGCACCAAGTACAATTAGGGGAAAGTAGAGGAAAGCATTTGTTCTGGGTTGAATAATAATCAGGAGAATGGGGGTACCTCTGACACTAGCCTTCGGGCCAGCCCAGGGCGGGTCGTTTCCTAGTTCTGTGAAACCCAGGTTGGGTCCCAGAGTACTCACCTCAAACCCCACCACTGAATTGGCATCTCTGGAAGGTGTTGGGTTTTATTTGAGAGTTTGACTTTGGAGGTAGCACAAGGTTTCCAGGAAGGGGATTGTGGGGCGGGGGTGGGAAGTAGGTGGGTGAGCTGGTGTGTCGCTTCACCTGAAATTTCATGACCTGGAAGGAGTGTTCTCAGTGGGCCACTGATTGGCTCAGGTAATGATTTGTGCCGTGTCTGTCTCACTTTCTCTCCACTACATTGTCAACTTCAAGCAGGCAGCAAGCCTACCTTGTTCACTTTCCTGTGTCCAGAGCCCTGCCACCATGCCCTGTACATCAATAATTATTTGATGCAAGTTAAAAATTTTAAAAACTACTTGGAATTTGAAGTAGTCAAGAGGAGAAACAGGCAGAGGATCACAAACTTGATCTTGCAATAGACTCAGAGTTAGGTATAATAAGAGAAAATATAACACAAAATAATCAGGTAATACCTCTAATGAACTTGGCTTTGTGCCCAGCAGGTAGTAAAAGATTGGCTAAATACTTTTAAAGATAGCATAGCATGTTGGATCAGCAGCTATCTTCACCATGTTCTTGCTTGTGTAATACTGGACAAGTTACTTTATGTCCCGAGACTCGGTTTCCTCATCTGTAAAATGGGGACCCATAACAGTGCCAACCTTACAGGGATGTTGTGGGAATTAAATGAGATGACAGGGATGTTGTGGGGATTAAGTGAGATAATGCATATAAAGTGCTTAACCCAGAGCCTAGCACCAAGTCACTATTCCACGTGTGTCAGCTGCCAGTATTTTTACTGGCGGTAGGTGAAGGAGAATGAGATTAACTGTGTCAGTTACTGCAGAGAATTTCAGAAAGTGAGGACTGGGAGAAAGCCTTTGAAACTGGAGCAGATGTCATAAGTAAGTCTGAGAACAGCTTCATTCTGGTGGTGGGAAATAAGGAGATGCATTTGGCCATGAGAGTGAAAGCAAAGTGAAAATGGGGCAATTAGGACATTCATCTAATAAGTTTAGCTGAAAATAAAAAAGATTTAGACAAGTAAGCAAAAATATGGGTGTTCTGTGATGTTTTAAATAGAGGGGTGACTTTTTTCTACTTGAAGGAAGAAAGGAAGAGTCCAGGACAGAAGGAAAAACTAAAAATAGTGGAAAGACGAGCAGTGAATGTGGGCTGAAGTAATAGTGTTCAACACAGACTAATCCTGCTTCCTACTGTTTATCACTGGGAAGAAAGAGAGAGAGAGAGAAGAGAGGGAATAGATTTTTCTACTCAAACATCACATGGTTCTTCCATTAAAACCCAGTGCGGCTTGAGTCTTGTTTTTGCACTTATTGACCATATGATCTTACTGCAATTACTTAGCCTCTTGAAACTATGTCTTCTGGACAGTGAAGATAATACCGCCAACCTTGCAGGAGCACCTTAAAAATTAGAGATAATGAATATAAAACACAAGTGACTTTGTAGGTAATCAATAAATGATAGTTACTAGGTTATTAGTAGATCATACTAACATTACATCCCCTAATCTTTTAAGAAATTTTCTTGAAATTAATGTACTTGTCTTTAAACATGTATTTGAAAAATTGTTTAAGGGGATCTTGTAAGGGATAATTTTTAATGTAAATATAATATATTCCATACTGAAAGATGAAGATGGCAATCATAAGATCAGGCTAGCAACTTTGGTGCCCTGTTATCCTTCCATAATATAGGTACATTGAACACAGGTGATTCCACAATAAAGGTAGTGATGAGTTGAAAAGGGGCTATAATTCTTAATAGTAACAACAATAATGATGATAATAATAATGGAATATTATCAGAACTGGAGTTCTACTTAATTGAAGCTTCTGATTAATTTCAGGCAGATCAGATAACCCTTATCATTTCTACATTTGTCAAATATCATTCCATAACATGTGCACCTGCTAGATGTCTATTAAGTGTCATCAATAGGACATAATTTGATCTTTCTTTGATAATTCAGGATCCTACAGTGCCACAGGTGGTCATTACAAACGTTAATAAGAAGTACAGTTCTGTAGGGGGAAATTAAGAAGACTGAAGGCATTAGACTGATTTAGTGCTCACCCCAGGGTATCACCTCTTTATAAAGACACATTTTCACTAAAATGTATTTCTTCTAAAAGAAATTCCAGCTTGGAATGGAAGTTTGTTGTACTCTGGCTAATCTAATTCTCCCTAAGTGGTGTTTATTTCGCTAGGCCACATGATGTTTCTCTGGAAGTCAGTTCTATTTTCTGCCAGGCTCTGGGTTCAGGGGCATCCTCATTTGGTGCTATTAGCTACTTTCTTCCCTAACTTATCACCTTGTCCTTGTTGGGCCCGTTATTAAATGTACATTATTGCAATGAAGCAAAATTAAAATATCAGCATAGAACTTTTGTTTAGATACCTAATTATGTGGCAATTAGAATTTTTGTGAGGTGTTTTGACATTTTTACAAGCTTGTACTGGGAAGAGCTAATTTGCATTTCAATATAGAAATTTACTAGTTGAGAATTCACACCAAGAAGACAGAATCAAAGATTATTTCTGGCAGTGACAGCACTGTAAGGACAGCATGTCTTAGTTGAACAACAGCTTTTTAAGGAACAACCTAGATGCACACAGGTTTCTTCTTCCCAAGTGACTCTAACAGGCTTATAGTCTTCAGCTGAGCTGTTTAGGAAGGTTCATCACAGAGAAAGTTTATAAGCTGTTTGTAAAAAAAAAACAGTTTTATGACAAGAAAGGTAATGTTTTATTGTTAATGTTTTTGCTAAACTACATCATTTCTGCGCTGATTCAAATGTTTTCCCAAATAACTTTTGGTGTTCAGCATCACTGTGTTTTCTGTCCCAAACTCTAAATCCATCTTTCAACTGGAAACATCAGTTTCCATAAAGTTCAAAAGGATGTTAGTGAGTTTCTGCAGTGAAGAGATTTCTCATATTTAAAAAATTAAATCACAAGCCTGTTAGGTCTGGGGACCACATAGCCAGTAGAGTCATTTTTACAAGGATAAATCAAGTCACAAGCATGCCATCACACATGGTACCGGGTTGCCACATTGTTTTATTGGCAAAATTTTTAATTAGGTCTGATATATTAAGAATGCATCTTGTAAATTCACTTTTCCAACAACTCTCACCCAATAGGTTCCCAAAGTTTATTCAAGATCTCAGAGAAATGACAAACAGGCACTACAAATTGTCTACCCAAAACCCTCTTGACATCTTCAGTCACCAAGGAGCCCCATTAGCCTAGAAGTGAAAGAGTAGAGAGAAGACTCATTTGTGCCTGTAGTTGGGAAAATGCAACTTCACTTTGGGATGAATTTGCAGCATTTTACATGCCCACAAGACGGCAGTATTGCCCCAGGATGTTAATGCAACCACCAGGGAGCCTCCTGGACAGCTGGCTGCAGAGTCTGAACTAAGGGAACGTTTTGAATACTAGCGAAAAGCCATAAAGACACCAAGCCCAGGAGTGAAGAAGATTGCACATGGAATGTAGGAATCTGGGTAGTAGAAATCTGGGCCAGCTTCCAATTCAAGGATTGTGTTTGTAGAAATAGTATAATTTTATACATCCAGGTGCTGGCAAGTTTTTCAGAAAGTGAAAGTTACGGGCCTTTTTGATTTTGAATTACATTTTCCTATGGTTTCTCCTATCATTGTCTAGAAAGCAAATTGAGACCAGGAATTTCTTCTAGAAAGAAAGCTTCAGGGCAAAACCATACATAACCCTGACTCAAAAGAATTAATCATTGGAAGACAATAATTTTTCAAGAAAAGCATAAATTAAAAATAAAAAAGCATAAATTAAAACATATATTCATATTTATCAGGGTAGATTTCTTTGTCTTCTTGAGTTTTTTAATGTTTTGGGGCATTAATAGATGTTAGCATCAGTTACCTTTACCAATACTACTTTGGATGATTAAAGTATTGCTAGACATGGTAGTTTCTTTTTAAATTTCTTAGTTTAAATATATGCCTGGATGTAGTATTTCAACACTTGGGAGGCTCAGTGGTGTGTGTGCAAGTGTGTAACTGTGCTTCTGTGTCGTGCTGGGAAATTTATTGTAGAAAGGCCAAGACAGTTGTTAGTGCCTTTGGATCCTCTCCATTCCCCATCCTCCAGCCGTCCCATCTCTGGGTACCTACAGAACAGAAGGATTTGTCAACAGGAAGGCAGCGTCCAGCAACCCTCAATCAAACCATATTGGTTGTATTTTCCACAGGAAGTGTCCTGCTTATATCCTACGAAGAAAAAATTCTGGGCCCTTTTGGTTAAGTGGGATGGGTTACCAGCAAAACCCAGCAATTATCTTGCTTTGACAGGGGCTGGTTAGGTCAAGCAATGTGACAGCATATGCACTGAATGTGACAGGGCTGGAACTGAGAAAATCAAAAGAAAAAATATCAAGAAAGTACTTAAAAAATTTATTATATAAAGTTAGACTAAAATTTTAAAATAGCAACACTCTGTATTGACATTATAAATTGACGTACCCCTTTAAAAAAAAAACAAAATGCAAAAGACTTAAGCATTTTTCTAGACTTTGCCCTAGTAAGAGTACTGATGAGAATTACTCTAAGAGAATAATTTCGTGGTGGGTGGCGGGGGAAACACATATACCAAAACATACACATAAGTTCTTTCACTTGTACCATTTCTTTAAGTTGTTTGGTACCACCCACAACCCCCTGAAAAAAAAAGAAAAAAAAAAGAGCCATTTGCAAAAATATTCTTTGTAGTATTTGTAATTCTCAAAAATTGAAAAAATTAAATGCTGAACATGATGATAAAATAGTGATTAGATATTTAAGGTAGACCTAGCTACTGGATGAAACATTACAAGGTATTAAAAATAAGTATAAATACCATTTAGTAACATTTAAAAATGCTAATTTTATGAGGTATAGTGAAAATAATGATCTGCAATGGGATAAGGAATAGCCCTGCTAGGTCAGGGCTATTCCAACTGTAGCAATGGGGCTTCTCTCTAAACAGTACCTGGTGCCCAGTATGTTCAGCGGGCAGCAAATAGATTCAGAGTATAGCCGTGTCTCTAGACAGAGTCCTGTAATCAGTATCTGTCTGCCCAGTGAGTACACTTTTGCTTTGCTGTAGAACTGAGCTTGGTGTTAGGATATCCATGACAGGGACTTCAGCTTCCAAGTAAATGGCTATATGGTCTCAGTCATGCTAAGAACTCTCCTGTATTCCTGAATGCAATCTGCAAAATGGAAACAAAGAAGTCACAACTGTCCCCCAACTTCTCCCCTCTCACCTGGCAGTGATTTGAGTTAGTGAACAACAACAACAAAAATGCTATAAGCAAGCAAAGGGAAATCAACTTTACTCTTTCTATCAAATAGCATCCACTTTGCACATTATCAACTTTATGGATTACATAGGGTAAAAACATGGTTTCTCCATGACTGACTCCCCTCCTCCCACCATCTAACGGACCTTTTATCGTCCTCCACTTGCTACCTACACAGACTGCAAACAGTTTTCACATTAGTCAAAATCACACGCAATTAGTGAGGTAAGTTGGTTGAAATATAAATCATATCACGTATTCCAAAGACAAATATTAATGATTTATGGATAGGGTTATGGGTTCTTCAGGAGGGTATTTTTGTCAGGCCTTTACAGGACTCCAAATAATTGATAGTTAATTGTATATTGATTTTTGTGCAGATACAGTATAATATAAGCTGATAAAATTCCAGGTTCCTAACCACATAGCCATCAGAGTCAGAGTAATAGGACAGGCAAAGCAATAAGACTGGAGGAGGTTGCCCTGACTCAGCAAGCTCCCTTCAGCATGTCAGTCTTACCCTGAGACGCAAAATGGCTTCTCCAACTTTATTTGCTAACGATCCTACCTTGGCTGCAACCACTCCCTGGGGTGAACAGTTAGTATGAAGACACTTCAGATCGATTGTGGTTGTCTACAAATGTCAGTGAGAGAGACTTTTATAATTTTGTGAATATTTATCATTTCCTATGTAAATGAGAATAAATATTATAAATTATTCTGAAAAGGTTAATTCTGTCTTTGTAACCAACTTGGATAAAATAGGAGTTGTGGGTGAGTTATTAAAATAATTTCAAATGCCATCTAGCTTTTATAGAGAGGCTTTTTTTCCTTTACTTTCAGCAGAAGAGATACTTGAATTTTGTATTCTTCAAATACTAGTCATGTTTAATCCTTGCCAAGTCTTGAGGTATGTGTAGAAAAGTGACAGCGGTGCAGGTAGGTTGTGGATTAGGTGCTATTTCAATTAAAAGTGTCATGGCGGTCCCCTGCTACTTACCTGTGCATGGTTTGCTCATGGGGGAATGGATTAGTGGGTGGGATGGAGTTGAAGATTAGTGGCCAGAAGAAAAATGGATAATTGGGCTGAGCTTGAGAAAGTCACCTTCCAGGGACTATTACCAGTGCCATGTTGCTCTTAAGAGGGCCAGGCTTCAAATAGCAGCCAAATTCCCAGTAATGAGCCAGCATCTAGAAAGAAAGAGAATTAGAAAAGAAACCAAAAACAGGCATCACTTTCCTAGATTAAGTTTCTTTTCCTTTTATTGCAGTGGTTTTATACATGAATGGGCTACATTTGCCTCTGCAGCCAAAATAATTTCCATGTTACATTCTGCTTATGGCAAATGAATTGGAACTCAAGCCCTTAGAGTTTAAAGAGCTATTACAGCTCTGTGTGTGAGCCAGGACTGTGGGGCTGCATGCATCAGTAAATCACCACTATGCTCTTGTTTGGTCCAGGGCCAAGAATGTAACCATCCTCCAGAAGGTAATGGAAGATTCCAAAGGTCTGACTTATTAGCAAATTCAGGACACAAAAATCACATGCATTTTTTAAAAAGTCAATTCAAGAGAGTTAAAAAACAACATTACTCTGGAAACAAGGGTCTTTCTGGGCCAATCCAATGATTAGCCAATGGTCTGTGCATAACTTTCATTCACAAACACCGAGGAGATTTACTCCAGGCCTCTCTGCCATCTCCCCCATATTGATAAGTAGGTAAAATCATGTTTTAGTATCCTGTTCAAAGAAACATATGCATGGAGGGCTCCTCTCTGCATTCTCACCAAATTTTCGTTTTGCTTTTTAGAAATTGTGCTTGGAATGGAGGGATAGTGGAAGGAATGACTGGTCTACTTTATTTAAATTAGGAAGCTTTTTAATTAAAAAATATGGAGATCATTAAGACCAGCATGTCAAACCCATGTATTCAGCACTAAACATTCTGTTAAAGTTAATAAAGTTAACATTTTCTTATAAAATTTTTTAAGAAATAAAAGATTAAAATTAAATATTAAATCCTCCGTTTTGTTCATTTTGGTGACATTCTTTTTTTCCCTCCCTAAATAAAATCACTGTCATGAATTTGGTGTGTGCCTGGTGGATGTGTTTATACTTTACCATATACATAAATGTGTTCATAAATAATGAATTTTGGGGTGTTTTATAAAATTACATAGATGCATGCTCTTATATCTTGTAATGATCTTCAGCTTGAATTTCTTCTGAATTTTTTTTTATCTCCATCTATGTGCCTATGGATCTGGTTAATTTATTCCATACACTTAATACTGCCATGCAATAGTCCATCCTATAGACTATATCATAATCTCTCCATGTTCCTATTCTTGGATATTGGATTATTTTCCTTCTTTTTAATCTCTACAATTTTGCTAAAATGGACATTCTTGTTCATGTTTCCTTGCGCAAATGCATAGGGTTGGCTACATACTTTGTGGACCCAGTGCAAAATGAAGCTGGCCCTTCTGTTCAAAATATAGGGAAAAAGTGCCATTAAAGGTATAAAAGCTAAGGCCTTTTCCTTTCTTCCACGATCTCTCTCTTCACTTGTCATGACTTGTCTGTGTTTCTTTATTTGTCATCTTAATGTTCTAAGAAAAATTTAAAAAGTAAGCTATTATCATAAATCTTACCATTCATCTTTATATTGTGCAATACCTGTTTTAAATGCAAATATAAGCATATTTAACTTGTATGTAAAATCATGGAAATGATACAACTGGCATTTTGCAGCTCATAAATGTGTTTGTATTTCATTCTCACCAGAAGAGTGGAAATGCTGCAAAATGAACCCAACTGTTTTTATTTCATTTCTTAACTCATGCACAGTCTACCAACACTCTTCTACCAACACTCTCTACCTTTGACTTACTGATGAATAAGGAAGAACTGAAAGAAAAAGGGATTGTGAGATGCCCAATCTTTCCCTTTCCTTCTCTGCCATCGTTTTCAGTGTACGTGGTTGGCAAATACAGGAAGAACTTGAGTTAGAAAAAGTACAACAGGGTTCCTCGGTTGTTCATAGTTTTTGGTTTGTCAATCCCTGTTTCTGCATTTGAAGCAAGTTCGGGTTCAAAGGCAAAGAGTGGCCTCTTCAAGTATTTACCTCCCCACTTACTCAGTTGAAGACATAACAGACTTACCTTGTTCTTGCCCTGAGTTCTGTTGAACTCCCACACTTCATGGGTCCACTGGGATTCTGTGCTCATGGGACATCCTGAATACTATACATGAACAGGGCAGCAAGATGTGGAGGACATGCATTTTGCACCCATCTCCTCCGTTCACGACATGCTGCAGTGCCCCGGCAAACATCACTTAAAGCACAAGTTCAAAAGTAAAACTATTAAGAACTTCCAGACAGTGAAAGCAGAGCATTAAACCAAGCACAGGGCCCTTCTGAGAGCAGAACTCTGTGTCCATGAAGCTGGCCCTATACTTGCATGAGCATTTCTTTGTTAGATATGTCTAGAAGCGGGTTCCTGGGTGGTGATGCACATTGTCGATTTTTACCTGATACTGCCAAAATGATTTCCATAATGTCTTTACAAATTTATACTGATACCAGTAATTTGTGAACATTTCCATTGGTCCATATTCTCACTCATGCATAATAATGACCTATTATTTAATTTTTGCCAATTGTGTTATTTTTGCTGTTATTTCCCTGGTGGATTGAACACTTTTTTTATTTGTTTATTCTGAGGGTGTGGGTTTCTTTTCTGTGACCTTGTTGTTCTATAATCTTTGCCCATTTATCTACTAGGCTGTCTGCCTTTGGCTATTGATTTGTAGGAGTTTTTTAAAAATTTGCTTCTTAATACATTCTCAATACTAATCTCGACTGTTGTAAGTCTTGCTAATATC